TAACTATCACGGCAGATAGCTATGATGTGACAATCTATAATGACTGATAGCTACATAGCTAGGATGGATGGATGGATAGCAATAACCTATCCATCCATGCACTGATAGCTCGACTGATCAATCACACTAGTTGCTATCTATTGTATCCATTTGTCTTTCAGATATGTAGATACAACATGTGAGTACTGGAGGTAGATACGACAGGTGCGTCCCGAAGGTAGGTACAACCGGTAGTCTTGGGAGGTTGGTACCAGAGGTAGGTACGACAGGTGTGTACCGGAGGTAGGTACAGGAGGTAGGTACCAGAGGTAGGTTTGGCAGGTAGGTACCAAAGGTATATACGACAGGTGGGTACAGGAAGGTATGTATGATAGGCGGGTACCGGAGGTAGGTAAACTTTCAGACATGTCCTGGTGGCCAGTCTATCAGTCAAACCTCTCACTGCAGAGCAGAAGAAGACAGAGGCTGATTTCTTTGTTGACGAAAATAAGATCAGGCCCTAAGATCTGCTTCACACGTAAGTATCGGCCAATCACGATCCCCAAAAATTAAGGAAATTGGCGCCCAGAAATCAACTGGCCGATAAATGTATCTTATATTATACATGCATAGGATATAATGTAAACAGCACTATCAGAGTATCAATAAGAATAAGTTATAGCAGGTGTGTGAATGATTTAATCGTCTAACTGTTGATTTCAGCAATCCACATTGTTAGCAGAAATAGAGGGCCCCAAAACCAAAGTTTGCTTAGGGCCCCATGGAGGCTTGGGCCAGTTTTTCCCATTGTGTATATATATACCTGTGTTACAGAGGTGTTGACCCTGTACAGTTTTGAAATACATATTCTTTCCATCTTGGTTCCACCCTGCCAGCTTTATTTCTCTATCGCTGTCTTTTTCTTGCCTGCCATTTTTACTTTTGGCCTAGATTTGTGTTGGAGAGCGTGACTCATTCATGGCCTGGTCAGTGCCCGAGGGTCAACACTACCATTAGGAATTTTATGAGGTGCAGAGACTCATAAAATTCTGACCCATTGACAGCCTTTCATTTAGTGCTGTAAGCATACCCTCATATGTTTTCCATCCTCTACGTGACTTGAGTTGTTATATAATCCAAAAAAAAGCACAGAAGAAGAGATAAAAAATTTTTTCACCATCTGAACCATCATTCAACCCAACAAGAAAACTAACTATGGTTTAGTTTATGTAACAACAAAGAAAATAATAAGAAGGCCTGTCATGATAACACATTATGCTGGACGATAAATTGTCCCAGATGTTATTCAGTTAAATGAGAATATCATTCTTGAGACCATTTTCAAGTAATATCATGGTAATGGCATAACTATGCAAGAACACATTCTCAAAAACCAATAAACTTGAAATTCTAATGAACTTTTAACACTGAAACGGGAAGAGATTTTATGTCTTCCATTTTAAACAAATGAACACCACAAAAGAAATAAATAAAATGAATTATGAAGTCTATACACAAAATTGTCCTTCAAAAAAGAGCTTAGTTGAGACCAAAGCACCAGACTGAAGACTTCTGTCATCCAGTTTTTGGTAGAAAGAGAGAAAAGAGAAAAATTAACATGGAAATGATTGAGCTTGTTTCAATTTAACATGTGGGACAGGCCTAATAGTAAGCATCTTTGCATCATTGGTGCCATTTACTTGCTGTGACGGCCCCTGCTGAGTGTGCTATGTGGCCGGTAAACTGTCTGTCCCATAGGTTCTTGATTGTGGGAGGCGCTTTTTTATCACGTGGCCACCTGGGTGAATATAAGGAGCCGTTCTTCAGCCTCTGGAGGCCGAGGCAAGTAGTGCAGACCCAAGATCCAGTCCCAGATGAGATCGGGACCCAGAGGCGGTGCTGGAACCAGAGCTTGACGCATTGTGGGAGCCGTCGCTTGTTCTGGACGAGGCTGAGGGAGTACGCGCGCCCATCATTTCCCCTAGGCAACAAGTTTTTAAATAAATGCCTCTGAAGGGCTAAAATGTGTCTGGTTGCCGTGTTCTCCCTTTTATTTGTTGCGGCCATCCGAGCCGGGCCGTAACACTTGCCTTATGCTAGGGAAACCTGAGCTGAACAAATCATTAGTAATTTAGTTTGTTTACTTTACTACATCCTAATTGTTCTCAGAGTTGGGAGACAAAATGATCCAAAATGCCTTCGTATGCTACAATGTTTATTTGAACAAAAGTAAATATGGTAGATTTAAAAAAAAATAACTGTAACCTCCTGCAACAAATGTTCTGTTCAAGTTACTTTGAAAAGAGCGAACTGATATATGATCGGCATACAACACCCTGTGGCAGATGGCGCTATGTATTAAAGCTGGCTGCAGAATGAGTAGAACCATAAATGTACAAACGACAAGCGAGTTAAACAAAAAATATTGTACATGTACAAAAACTTGCAGAATATTTAAAGTAGTTTTAAATCTGGATGTGTTCACTTTTTAAGACATGAAAATAACCTATGAAAGAAGGAAGCCGAGGGGTGTAAACGATGCAGTTTGGATCACCTTTAAATATATTTTAAATGAGCAGTATTATGTAAAATTGACTTTTTTGAGCTTTACATTTGATCAAAATCATACCTGGAGTGTTGCTTTGATTCTTTCATGCATGTTTGAGAAATTCTTGTCCTCAGAGCTGCAGCTTTCCCCTCAGAGTAGCCCTCCCACCACTCCTTCAGACTAGCCAGCAGCAATTAGCAAACACCTGATGGAGCTGCACATCTGCTGAGCTCATTATATGAGCTTATTATATGAGCTACTTCTCAGTAAAAACATTGTTTAAGGGTTAATAGAGGAGCAATGTTGTGACTTCCTGAGTTTCAGGAAGAGAAAAAGGCCCAGTTTCAAGGCGTTAAATCAGGAGGTTTATCCGACATTGCTGAAAAGAAAAATGTACATGATATATATGCAGCATTTTTATAACAACTGAAGGCAATAGTCATACAACAGAGCTACGCTGCACCATTCAGGCCACTGAAATGAACTGAAAAAGTCTCACTTCCTCCGTGTTATTTTACCAGACACTCATTGCAGAAGTTTCATTGCAACCTGCAAATGCAGTGTTTTTATTTTACACAAATGTGCATACATCATCGTTTTGACAAGTACAACTTTATTCCAAGGATCAAGAGGTTTCCGGGCAGAACATGGAAAAAAAAAAAAACATTCAGCATCAAGCAATTCACAATGAACAAGTTGGAGCATACCGTTCTTATAAAATATAGAGCTTTAATTTATTAGTCAGCAATGGAAAAGGAAGATCTACAGAAATCAGAATATCACCTCTGTGCATGTTGTGTTCTCTTATCAGAAAGTATGACATAAAAAACAACAATCAAAAACAGACAAAAAAAACAACAAAAGAAATATTTGTAAAAAAAAAAAAAAAAAAAAAAAAAAGGAATTTTACAACCGTTGTGCTTTTTGATGATAAAAACTTAATCTTAGGACTCTGGTTTCAGTTGGACTTATAGGATTTTATTCGATTCTGGTGATGAAGATAAATACCACACTGAAAGCAGATACAAACATCGTGGACGAATCATCGATGGATCCACGGTGACTTCCATTCAGACTGTAAACAAGCCTGGAAAGACACTTTCAAAACTTTTCCCATCTCAAATATCTATGTTTAGCTTCTTCTAAATCATTTTTTCTTTTCTGTAGAATAATCTTGCGGATTCAAATGACAAGAATTTCACTTCTGGTAGATCGGCTAAAGCAACTTTTCGGCAGCATGGTTCTCTAAAGTGCAGGCATGGGCCGGTATTATTGAAACAATAGAATCACGTAAAAACATAATTTCACAGTAATATGGTGTCAAAATGGGAATTCTAAAGTAAATGTTAAACTATATCACATAAAACACGTAACTGCAAAAATTTTACTTTTGAAAAGTTGTTCTCTGTTCTGCTCCTTATGAAGCAATACTGGGGTCTTAAGAACCTGATGTTGCTTCTGATAGCTCACCTGTGATAGGCTGTTTATTTTACCAACAGACATGCTAACTCTTAGTTTTTTTTTGCAACCGTTTGTTTCAAAACACGATTAGCTTGAAGACAGATTAAACTTTTTGAAGAGAGGTTCTGCAGCGCTGTATCAGTAACAATAACTTTGCCTGTTGTCAAACAGAAAATGTTCTGGTCATTTCATAACAATGTGTTTGTGTTTCTGAGCTACTCTGCTAACTGTATCAGTCCACCTGATGTTAGCGTAGCATGGACAGGAGGCAAACTGAACCTCCTGTGACAGTGGAGATATTTAATATCCACTAATGTAGTATTGTGTGAATATTTTTGGTTTGAGTTGCTTCAAAATCAATACTTTTTTGTTTGCTTTTGCCTTTTGAAAACCGGTTCCGATATGAAATCTGTCTGATACAGTTTCCTAATTCCAAAAAAGATGAATCGGCCCCGATTCCAATCGGCCATCTCTTTCATAGCAAACCGATCTCATCTAAAGTTATCCTCTATGATATCGCCCAAAATCTTAATCAGCAGGTACTGGACTGACGTCAATGAAAAGTTGTACCATGCTTTACACCAGAAACATTTTAAAATCCCAACGTTTTAAAGCATTTCTTCTCCCCCGGCTTTAGTACTGAGAACCGCCGCGTTGTACACCACAGAGATGAGAGACAGACAGGAAGCCCGACCGCGCGCTGCCTTACTGGAATTACAGTACAAACACAGGTTCATGCACACAATGAAAGCCAGCTTCCGGGTATTTTGGTTGGTGTCACAATATTTTCTTTTTCTTTTTTTTTTTTTAAACAAAGCTGTGTATATTGTTTTTTTTCCACACATGAAAAGTCTCAAGAGGAAATGAATTGAGAGAAAAAAATATATATATTTTGTGCTCAGAACTGCTGACTGCAAACATTTGCTGCCTGACTGGAACAACTTTCACTGCGAGTCGGTTTTTGTTCTTCCACCTTATCTTCCCCACCTTGTGCTTGTTTGGTGTTTTATTTTTTGGCCCCTGCCAATGTCCCTTGAAAAATAAAACTAAATAATGCCCTTGTGTGCAAATCCTTATAGCTTGTACGCCTCAAAATCCGTCCAAAGGAGGTCTGCGTTTGAAGGAAGTGATGTCATGGTTACCGATTTAGACAGCTGGTGTGTCTGAACATAGAGCAGCAGCTTGGGTACCGTCCCTCGCAAAAGTGTTCAAAAAGCTTGAATTTTTGCACATTTTGTCACCATGTAGCTACAAACCTTTAAGTATTTTATTGGTATTTTGCACGGCAGTCGGTGTCAAAGCAGTGCATCACTGTGATATGGAAGGAAAAGTATGCTTCCTAAAAGTTTTTAGTCTAATTTAATAAAATCCAGCACAAGAAAATGTCTTCAGAATAGATGGAGCTAAAGTGAAGGGTGACTTTCCAGCAAAACATTAACCTTAACCTAAACTAAATGGTTAAATGGACCAAAGTAAAGATCAGTCGTTATTGTACCAACCTCAGGTCTTCTGGTTCTAGCCTACGAAGCTGCATTCAGCTTCTATTCTCCACAAATCTGGAACAAGCTTCTAGAAAACTGCAAAACAGTCAAAACACTGAGGTCCTTTTCAACCAATGCTGTAGAACCGCCTTCTTAGAGTTAACTGGAACACTGACCAATATATTTTATGTGTATTTGCTTGATTTTGATAAGATTTGACAAAATGTAATTTTTATTCCGGGTCTCATAATTGGTCTGTATTATGTACATAATTAGGCAAAACCTCATTTAATTCAAAACAATAATAAATGATCAATATAATTGCTTTTGAAAACTGTTGACTTATGTGTATTATAGTACATTTAGTCAGTATGAATATGTTTTTTTATGTCCCTTCTCTGGTTTTTATGGTATTCTGGTGTATGATTTTTTTTAATGTATTTTTGAAGATAAGAATTTGTTCTTAACCAAATGACCTGGTACATTTTCAACAAGCTATAGGAGACTGTTTTAATGAAGTAATTTGATGAGAAAGTTCTAGTTCCATTGGCAGATTATTTTATAACATTAAATAATTGTGTGTTTTACACAATAGATGGATTCAAATGGACTCCACACTCTTTTATTCATAAAAGAGTTTAAAAATCATGCGTCTTTTCCATCCACTCTATAATTATGCACTGCTTTATGTCGGCCTGTCACACCGAATCCCAATAAAATACATTCAAGCCTTTAGTTGTGATGTAATGTGAAATAATTCACTCCTGTGTGAACACTTGAGCCAGGCACCGCACCGTGGAAGTAAGTCTCATACTTTTTGACAGTAAACATTTTATTTATTTATTTATTTATTTTTGTTTTTAAATAAATCTCTTGGATCCCGGTTAGTATCTGGCGCGGGACGCAGCGACGGTCCACATCGTTTTTACAATCAGTCCCTCTGATCTACACAGACATGACAGAAAAGAAACACAAGGATTCCCACTGAGAAAAGCAGTGTGACCCCCCCGACCTCTGACCCCCACAGATAACTCGGACCAAGGTCCAGTGGTCCCTCTTCCAACATGAAGTCTCTCTCTCTGCATGCAGCCACAGGGAGGCTGCAGCACAGGCTCTTCTGGAGTGTCCACAAATAATTATAATAATAATAATAGTAAAAAAAAACAAAAAACAAAAAGAAATATTCTCCCGTCACCTTGTTCTCAGCAGCTCCTCGTCGCAGTCCGCTCTGAGTCCCAACAGCTCGCGCTCCAACAACGTTCCTCAGGCTGTCAAAGTTCACATGATGCTGACGAATGGGGATTTTCCTACCGACAGTAACAGCAACATCGAAATCAACGACAATAACAATATTCTCCCCGCCCCCAAAGTGGTACCTATACACAAAGAGCTTGTCTTCTTTTCTTTTTTCTTTTTTACTGTAAGTACAAAGAAATCCACAGAATGGTACTATTTACAACCTACAATAAATACTGTGTATCATATATGTTACGGCTTGAGGGAGGTGTGTGTGTGTGTGTGTGTGTGTGTGTGTGTGTGTGTGGGGTTTCGTTTGGAAGCCGTTTTCATTCAGTTTGCAGATTTTTTTCATCTTTTTCTTTGAAGCTGCTACTCTCATCTCATCGAGTCTTTCCCAGTTTTCTTGGGGGTGGGGGAGGGTCGGGTGGAGGGGAGGTTGTGTTTCAAACACACAGTCAGCTTCCTCATGTCTCTACTCCCTCCTGCTCCTCTTCCTCGTCCTCCTCCTCATGTCGCTCCCTGTGATGCCGACGGTTGCGGGGTTTCTTCTGCTCCTTGAGCTCCTTCAGGTCTTTGGCCTTGATTGCTCCCAGCAGCGGGTCTCCGAACTGCCAGTAGTCCTGGCAGTACTGGTTGATCAGGCTCATCTCGGGCTGGCTCAGAATGGTCAGCAGGTCCTTGTACTGGCCCGCGCTGGGGGTCCACTGGGCGCCGGCCGAGTGAAGGGACGATGGCACCAGCCCCCCGCCGCCGTCCACCAGCGCGTTGTTGACGGCGCGGCCCGACAGCACG